TCCGCCTCAGCCTTCCAAGTAGCTGGAACTACAGGCACGCACCACCATGCCCAGCTAACTTTTTGATTTATTGTAGAGCTAATGTCTTGCTAAGTTGCTCAGGCTGTTCTCAAACCTGTGGGCTCAGGCAGTTCCCTCACCTCAGCCTCCCAAAGTGACTTTTATCTTTATAATTTCTATTTTGTAATATTAACACTAATAATAATAAGTATTTTGTTACTTCCTCATAAACCACTTAAAAATGTCTAATCCTGGCTGGGTGTGATGGTTCACACCTGTAATCTCAGCACTTAGAAGGTCAAGGCAGGAGGATGGCTTAAGGCCAGGAGTTTGAGACCAGACTAGGCAACATAGCAAGACCCTATCTCTACAAAAAATAAAAAAATGGTGGTGTGTTCCTATAGTCTTAGCTACTCAGGAAGACTGTTTGAGTCCAGGAGTTCGAGGTTACAGTGAACTACGATCGTGCTGCTACACTGCATCCAGCCTAGGTGACAGAGTGAAAATCTTGTCTCTAAAACATAAAAATAATAAATACTTATGAAATTAAACATAAAAAAACAAATCTTTACAGTGACCCTGTGAAGTACATATTATTATCAGTCCCATTTTTCAAGAGAGGAAACAGGGTCAGAGAGACTAAATGATTTTGTCAAAATTATGCACAGCTAGATGCTGGAGACTTGCCTCAAACTCCTGTTCAACTGATTCCAAATTCTTGCTCTTTCCACCATAACACTGTCCCTCCATTCAGATCTTCAAACAGGAGCTTGCTGAGAGCCATACATAAAGAAATACTTTTAAAAACAGTAATTGGCCAGGCTCGGTGGCTCAGCCTGTAATCCCAGCACTTTGGGAGGCAGAGGTGAGTGGATTGCCTGAGCCTCCTGGGTAACTTGGCAAGACCTCATCTCTACAATAAAGATCAAAAAATTAGCCGGGTGTGGTAGTGCACGCCTGTAGTTCCAGCTACTTGGAAGGCTGAGGCGGAAGGATCGCCGGAGCCCAGCAGGTCGAGGCTGCGGTGGCCGGGAGCAGCCACTGCACTCCAGTCTGGGAGACAGAGTGAGACTCCAACTCAAAAAAAACCAACAAAATAAATAAATAAATAAAATTTAAAAAACAGTAACTTTGGGATATTTACCTGTAGGAAAATGTCCTCCAAAGAAGACATTGAATAGCTCTTCTGGAGTAATGTCAGCTTCAAAGTCCCTGTAATAACTATAGGATCTGGCTCGAGGGGCAGTGAAAGTCATCTGTTCGTCTCCGTATTCATCATAGCGGCGTCTCTTGTCAGGATTGCTCAGGACTGCAAAAGCATTTCCTATCGCTGCAACCAACAAAAAGCAGCACATGAGCATAGTCTTTGCTACAACTGAGCATCCAGCAACAAAGAACTGGACAGCTTCCCAGAGGCCCAAGGCGTTTGGGTCTGGAAAGTTCCTCAAAGTGCTTCCCCTTGAGAATTTCCATGACCTAGTTTGATAAGCAAGAAACAACTACACTGGATTCAGAGGAACTGAGAACTATTGCTGAAGCGAGAGTTAACAACTAATCAACAGCCCTGGAGTCATCCCAGTTGTCCTACAAGTTAGGACATCCCTTATTTTGGGTTAATAGTCACGGCAAACCCCAGACATGTTAGAGAAATGTCCTCCAACTGGTCAGCACTTGAAAGTGTAGAAACAGTTCACACATAGTGAGTGTGAAACAAAACTATGTGATAGTCCTTTTTTTTTTTTTTTTTTTTGAGTCAGAGTCTCACTCTGTTGTCCAGGCTGGAGTGCAGTGGCACACTCAAAACCACTGCAGCCTAGGTCTGATGGGCTCAGGTGGTCCTTCCACTTCAGCCTTCCTAGTAGCTGGAACTATAGGTATGTGCTACCACACCTGGTTAATTTTTTTTATTTATTGTAGAGACAAGGTCTTGCCAGTTTGCACAGGCTGGTCTCAAACCCATGGGTTGAGACAATCCTTTCGCCTCCACCTCCCAAAGTGCTGGGATTACAGGCGAGAGCCACTGCACCCAGCTAGGACTATATGATACTCTAATTTGAAGTCAAAAATAATTTCCTGAATTACACCCTGAAACAATCTCAGTAAAGACACTCCTGCTCGGCTGAAAAATAAAGTCCTTAACATAGTCTCATTTCAATTTACTTTAGAAAATAGTCTTTCAGCCGGGCTCAGTGGCTCAGCCTGTAATCCCGCGCTTTGGGAGGCCGAGGTGAGTGGATTGCCTGAGCCCACAGGTTCGAGACAACTTGGCGAGACCTCATCTCTACAATAAATCAAAAAAATTAGCCGGGCATGGCAGCGTGCGCATGTCGTTCCGGTTACTTGAAAGGCTGAGGCGGAAGAATTGCCAGAGCCCAGCAGGTCGAGGCTGTGGTGGCTGGGAGCGGCCACTGCACTCAAGAGTCTGGGTGACAGATTGAGACTCCAACGCAAAAAAAAGAAAAAAAGAAAGAAAAATGTCAAACCTATAAAAAAGTTGAAAAAAAACAGTATGGGCCAGGCGCGGTGGCTCAAGCCTATAATCCCAGCACTTTGGGAGGTGGAGGCAAGAGGATTGCCTGAGCCTGCAGGTTCAAGACCAGCCTGGGCAACATGGTGAGACCTCGTTTCTACAATAAATAAAAAAACGAGCTGGACATGGTAGCATGCACCTGTAGTTCCAGGTACTTGGAAGGCTGAGGCGGGAGGATCGGCTGAACCCAGCAGGTCGAGGCTGCGGTGGCCGGGAGCCACTGCCCTCCAGCCTGGGTGATACAGTGAGACTCCAACTCAAAAAGAAGAAAAAAAAGTATGATACATATATACCCTTTGTCTTCCCACAGTTACCTACAACTCTCTCCCTCTAAATATGCATATGTACATATATATACTATAATAAATATACATTTCAATTGTTGAACCATTTGAAAGTAGGCTACAAATACTATACCTCACCCCTAAGTTCCTCAGCACATATCTCTAAGAAGAAAGACATTCTTCTCTGTGATCATAATGCCATTACCACAGCTAAGAAAATTAATATCAGTTCATTATCATCCAATGTATCTATGCAAAATTCATGTATTTGTATTTGGCTTTATGTCGCTTTACTTTCTTTTTTTTTTTTGAGTTGGAGTCTCACTGTGTCACCCAGACTGGAGTGTAGTGGCTGC